TGTGTATATATACCACATTTTCTTGATCCATTCAGCTACTGAGGGGCATCTGGGTTGGTTCCATATCTTAGCTATGGTAAATAATGCTGCAATAAACAGAGTTGTGCTGGTAGCTTTAGTATGGTCTTGTTTGTGATCATTTAGGTAAATTTCCAAAAGTGGGATTGCTGGGTCATAGGGAAGCTCTATGTAGTCTTTTGAGGAACCTCCATACTGCTCATTTTACTTTGTATGCTTATTTTCAGACTTCTTCCCAAAGGGGACCTATGTATACCACATTTGACACAACACAGAAGTTTCATAACAGTTTTCTGTGAGTTTTGTAAAGATAAATGCACTGCAAGGAGAAATAAGACAAATGTTCTTACAGTAAAATGTGAACATGGGATTTTAATATATGTGGTGATTAAATTTTAGGGACTTCATTCCAAACATGGTTCAATATCAATAATTAGAAGCTCTTCAGATTAATTTTATTTTGGATCTATTACTGGGGTTGGAACTCAGGGCCTTGCTAGGCATGAGCTTTATCATGAGCTACACCTCCATACCTTTATGCTTTCCTAATTTTTCTAAAATTTATTGTTATTATAAAGGTGATGTACAGAGGGATTACAATTACATGAGTCAGGTAATAAGTACATTTCCTTTCACGCAGTGTCCTCCATTCTCTCATTTTCTCCAGTCCCTCCCTCCCATCCTTCCTTTCTATAGTTTTTGAGATAATCTTTTACATTGATCCTTAGTCCAGTTTAGACTGCATCCTTCTTCTTAGGCTTCCTGCAGAGGTACAATAGGGGTGATCTACCATGCCCAGCTTTTATTGGTTGAGATGAAAAAAAAATCTTTAAAGGCATCATGCAATACTTGCTCATATTTCCAAAGTCATTAAAAACAAGGCAGAGCTGTGACAGCCTAGGGGATCCTAGAGAGAGATGGCGACTGAATGTCGTCCCTGAATGGAGTCTGTGAAAAAAGAAAAGGATGTTGGCAAAACACCAAAAACAGTCCAGTATTTTTGGCCTTTAGTTAATAATAACATCACATTGTTGGTTTCAAAAGTGTGATAAATAGATCACAATATTGCAAAGAATTATAATAAGGGGAATATGAGATGTGGATATGTCGGAAGTTTCTATTTACAATTTTCTGTGAACCTGCAATTTATTCTAAAATAAAACAATAATTAAAATAATTGCTGCTCTATTTTATAAACTATTTCAAATATGAGCTTGCATAATTATTTTTCTTGAGGCCTAAGGATAGTAGGATCAGGTTCCCCAATCCTTAGTTCTAATCAGACAGTTATATTCCACAAATATTGTTGCAAGATGGATGTAAATATTAGATTCCTTTTGAATACATTCCATCAGAAAACAAATGCTCATGTAAGGTGATTGCAATTGTTTGTATCAAGAATTTTTTTCTTCTCTGATAAAACTATCTGGAAGATAAATTCCCTATTTCTAGGAATAAAATAAATACATCTTCTGAAACAATGAGCTCAGAAAATGATGAGGCTTGTTGCAATGCTCAGGGCTTAATTGGAAAACATAGTCACTGAGAAGGTAATTTGAACTAGAACTATAAATCTTTGTGAAAAATAATCATCTATAACAGGCTTTTACTTCATTTATTTTTAGCTATTTCATATACCCCCCAAAAGGAGAAATTGGATACACTGGAAAGTAATGAAATCCAAAGTCATTTTTTTTACTGTAAAGTGGATCTGTAAATCTCAGTATTTCTACTCTTTCAATCAATTTCTTTGAGAGTTTTACTTAGGGGGTAGTTTCTGCACAGAATGGATTTTTCTTTTTCTTTTTTCTTTTTCTTTTTGGTAAATATTTCCTGCTGCAGGTTTCCTGTCACTGAATCTATCACTTTTCCACTTTAAGGAGAGCCTCAGTGGTACTATGCATCTGATGCTGAGTTTGAAAACTGAAACACATTTGAGTAACAAACTGCTCACAGCTAGGGATTGGGATCTGTCAGGTGGGCAAAGCAAGCTCTTCGGTCATTTAAACACATTAGAAAGCGAGGATCTTGATCAGGCTGTATCACTTACCACTTTTAGTGTGTGTGTGTGTGTGTGTGTGTGTGTGTGTGTGTGTGTTGTATGAGTAGTAGTTTTGTTATTCATTTACCTACTTATTCGTTAAGATTCTTTTTATAGAGCTCATGGTGGCCTTGAAATGACTATCTTCCTGTCTCAATCTTTACTAGGAAATAGGCTTATACTACCATGCTCAAATTGTATATTTGGTTATGTGGACATATCTATCACTTTCTCCATAGTCGGTTTGAAATGCTGGAAATCAATTGCTACTAAAGCAATGCTTTAGTTAGTTACCTGACACACTCCCCATTCTAATTCTTTCTGGTGTTGTTTGAAAAAAATATTGTTAATGAACAGTTTGTCACATTGCATTTGTCACATTAAGCAAATGGCCTATCGCCCAATAAGTCTTTCCCTTCTAAATGCCTCATAACTTTACATTTACTTTTCCTGAAAGAGTAGTTTCATAAAATTTCTTTGCATAATGTGTGATGACCTATATTCTCCCATTCTTTGAATTTTAGATTTTCACTTGTAATTGCAGAGTGTATATTTCAAATAACATATTATAATCTGTTAATATTAGTTTGTTGCGTTTGCTGTTAAATATTTATTTGAATGTATTCAACTAGGATATTAAAGCTAGGCTCTGGTGGCTAACAGTTCAAAGCAAGCCACAGCAAGAAAGTCTCAAAGATTTTGATCTCCAGTTAAAGTAGATGAATGAGCTTCTAAAAAGACAAGGGTGTAGTTCACCTGCAAATCAAAAGCAGAGTTGAGCCCAGGAAACCTGTAGTTCCTAACAAATAATAGAAATGCTTTCCACTCTATTATGGAGATCATATTATCTTACTCACATTACCTTACTGTATTCATTTCCATGTCATTTTGCATATTGTATCCCTCCCACACCATACTTCAAGATTCAGCAACATTTTTCATGTGGAAGGATGAAAAGTGGTTTCGATATTCACTCCATAGCTTCAAGTTTCTAAAAACAGCTGATACAAAGCAATTTTGTAACCAAATTTCATATAAAAGCACAACAGTATGCAAATAAGGTATAAAGCCAAACTTTAGAAATGAACTTGAAAGATTAACAAATAAATGTGATGCCAGTTTTAGGGCTAGAACTTAGTCCTCCATCCCTTTGTCTTTTACAGTGGGCAAGCCACAGGTAACTCTGACCCCAAACAGTTTCATTGCTACTGTCACTGCACATCTGGGCCAACAGTACAGAAAGCAGTAACTTGCCAATTCTCATTGGTTTGGCAGGGTCTGTTCAGACAAAGTCTCCCCCCATCCCCACCCCCAGTCTCTTTTAGTGTCAGAAGGAAATCAAGCTACAAAGAGCTGTGGCATTTTTTTTTTTTTTTGTCTCCTGCCTCCTCCCTACTTAGGGCGGCTCCACCCTGTCTTGGCTCCTGGGTGACATCCTGCCTGCCCCAGGGACAGTTTGTGAGCCAGGACTGATAGTGCAGGCAAGTCTCACTCATCTTGCATAGGAGCTGCCCAACCAAGATCTGGCTAGCTTCAGTGTGACATCCTGCCTATCAGGGAAAGGAATTATGAGCAAGAACTACAGCTTCAGACAAGTGACATCCAGAAGCAAGAAGTTTTTGTAAAAAGCCAGGCCTACAAGAACCCTAGACCCAGCAATGGCATTATCCCTGCAAGAATTCATCCACTCCCTCGACCTCCGGACCCTTCCCAGGGTCTTGGAAATCCAATCAGGCATCTATTTTGAAGGTAAGCATTCTGCAGTTCCTTAGCTGGCTAGTAAAGTCTGTACTCTTGAGAATTCATGGAGGAAATTTTAACAAACAGCATGAGTTCTGTAAAGGAAAGCTGATCACACAAAGAAGAAACTTGCTCACTGATAAGAGGTCATCAGTAGTGAAGATTCAACAGTGTTCAAGAGAAGAGAGTGTATGGGTGGGTGGGAATAAAGAATTATGGGCTTTTCAGTAGTTCTATAGGAATGGTGGATTATTTCTGCGGTTTGAAATTGGTTGTAATCAAGAGTGGAAAGTTTAAAGTGATTGGTATTTGTTTCTCGAATATAAAGAAATTAGTTCTTCCAAAGCAAAAGCATCTGTCAATGCTTTACAAACAACGCTCCCCAAAGTCTGAACTACTTCTAGATATTACTGTTTACATCAGAACTTCTATCAGTCTTTTTCTTTTTTTGAGTTTAGATTAGTAGTTGAGCAAAGGAGGTGCCCATTTAACAAAATAGTTTATAAATGCAATGCATCTTCATCAGTGTCACCCATTTCAACAGTCTCGCCCACCTCGACCCTCTCCATCCCGTACTTTTCTTAATTTTGTGGTCTATACAATGAATTTTTGACTGTTCTCACTCTGTAATGACCTAATTCTGAATTCCATAATAGGGAGAATTTTAATTTGAAGGGGGCAGAAATTAAAGTCTGTTAATCACAGATAATTTCTTAAGCCTATGTCAAAAAGTCAGAGTTAGAACTATTGAAAAATAAATTGGTAAATTTTGGTGTAACTTAGTACCATAAATGTGTTTCTGTTACAAGAACACTAGAATTAAACCAGTACAGTAAGTTCTGACCAAATTACTGGGAAAGTAACTGCAAAAACTGTTGATAGACAAGTCTTTTCCATTCATAGATAGATATTCCTTCATTTAAACTCTAACACCCATTCTTGTCAATAACTTGCACAAAATATTAAACAATGTATTATAAGGTAGGCTTTTAGTTGGATTATTGTGCCCAAGTGGAGACTATCATATTTATGTTCTGACCATGTTTATAGTAAGCAGAATAAACTAGGATACTTTATAGGCTGGGTATCTTAAACACATTTATTTCATTTTCTTCACATTTTAAACTTATGCTATTTTTAAATTAGAGTAGGTTTATTAGGCTCAAATCCCATCATAAATGCAGTAGTTATAGCAATTATGGAAAAGAGAGTTCCTAGTTTCATATGTGCACATACATACATAACCATTCCTTCACCTCCACCAAGCTATTTAAATGACATAGAGTATAGATTGTCACTGGCTTATTATAAACTTTTCCTTAATTCATTTGTAATTGGCTATTTGAAATCAGACCATCTTTCATTATGAGTACCATGTTATGACTTATGTCAAGTGGAAGCCATTTCTTGTCAGCAGGGTTTAGCTTTTAAGGCCTCCTGTAAGAAATCTTAACCTCTAGGAACAGATTCTTTTTTAGGCTAATTTTAAAGTTGTATATTTTGCATTTGGTTTTAGTCACTTGGAGAAAAATATTTTTCCATGAAGTATACAATTTTAGTCTTCTGTATTCAATGAAACTTATTTTTAGCATACCAAGCTAAATGTCTTTTCCCTGTTGATTTCTAAGCCACTTTTATGTCGAACTGTGTACAATCTCAATCGATCTCTGAAACTAATATCTGAGTTTATTTTTCTTATTTTTGCTAAGAAAATACAATTTTTAATACCATAGTGTAAAATGTTAACTAAAATAATTATTAATACACAGTTGGTACTCAGACTACTCCCTTGTATTCACTCCATTTTGCAATTTATAGACTTTTTAAATACATTTTTAAAAAAATTGATTTCATAAGACATCCAAATAAGACTTTTATTGATTGCATCAACTTTACTGTTATTGAGAAATAGTGACAATTTCATATTGTTTTCACAAAAGAAACATGTATAAAGCATCTTTGTCACTCATTATTACTTTAGTAATACATTAATATTTAATTAAGATGAATTTTCTTAATGTGAGGTCATTCATGTAACTGTCACTCTAGGCAACAACAAAAAAGCCCTACAAATGTATAAACTTTATCCTTGTCCCTTTTTAATTGATACTTACCATCTCTTCCTAACCTAACCAGTATGATTATTTTGGGACATTTACTGATTTTTTTTTGTCAGTTGTGGGCCTTGAACTCTGGGCCTGGGCACTGTCCCTCAGCTCTTCAGCTCAAGGCTAGCGCTCTACCACTTGAGCTACAACACCACTTCCCAGATTTTTATATAATGGGAAAATTACAGTATTCTTTCCTGATTGGCATGTATAACATTTTTTTAAATTAATCTACTTTCTATATACCTAATTCAATTTCAGTATATACAAAGTTCTATTGGATGAATATACCACCCTTATCCATTCAACTGTGAATGGATATTTGGATTAGTTCCTGTTTGACATTGTTACAGTAATGTTGTCATGAATATTATTATACATGCATACTCACATGAATGACATTTAGTTGGGTATAAGAATAAGTAGGATTAATGTTATCTGGTATGTTTATGTGTGTGTTCAGAGTTGGTAGATAATGAAAAACAAGCTTCCTGAGCACTTGTTCCATTTTATATTCCTGGTAGCAATACTATTAATCTTTTTTTAAGATAGAATCTTTACATATAGCCCAGACTGGCTCCAAATTTATGAACCTCCTGAGTTCTGGGATTATGGAAATGTGCCAACATCTCTGGCTATTTGTCTTCTTAATTTTAATCTTCCTGGTGAGAATACAATGATAGCTCATGATTTTAATTTGCATCTCTCTTACATGTAATGAGATTGAGCAACTTTTCATTTGCTTGTTTGCTTATTTGGAGGTTCTCTTTAGGATATTGTTTATATCTCTTGCCTGTTATTATTAGATTTTATAAATTTTATTATTTCTTTTATAAAATACAAATAAAATTACACTTTCAGTGATCTGTGTTGCAAACATCATCTCTTTCCATGTGTGTAGTTTAATATTTATTTATTTATTTATTTAGTCGGTTGTGGGACTTGAAATCTGGGCCTGGACACTGTCCCTCAGCTCTTCAGCTCAAGGGTAGCACTCTACACTTGGAGTCACAGTACCATTTCTGGCCTTTTCTGTTTATGTGGTGCTGAAGAATCAAACTGAGGGCCTCATGCATGTGAGGCAAGCACTCTACCCCTGAGCCACCTTCCCAGCCCCAATCCTTTGGTTTTTTTGAATGGAAATTTTCAATTGCACTTAGTGTGTTCAATGTATGATTATATTCTATTTGTGCATTGTCATGAAAATTTTCTCTAAGTATATGAAAAGTTTTTATATTATCTTCTACACATTTTATTATTTACTCTTAACCCAAATCTGTACTCTCCCTGGAAGTTCTGTCTTTAAAAATGATTTGAAGGCCAAAATTTTCCTTTTATTTATTTATTTTCTCTCTAGAGCCAATGGGTGCCAGCCTTTTCCAGATCCCCACTGTGTTATCTTAGTGATGAACAGTGTGCTTATAGCCTTGTAACAGCCTCTTCATTCTTCCAGTCATCTAGTTACTATCATTATGCCAATTTTATCTTATCCTAATTAATGTAGAACAATAACAGTATATGATTCATATATTTCACATATATACTTATAAGCTATAGAGCCTTGGTTCTAAAATTTGATTGTCTATGTGAAATATCTGAGTTGTTTTTTAAACAAAACTGTAAGTGACTGGCTATCTCCTTCGGAGAGAAGGATCTAATTATGTGACAGGTATGTTGGGTTATTGTCAGGTTTCTAGAAATCTCTCTGGTGATCGTAAAATGCAGCACATTGAGAAATGCTTCTGCAGAATATACTCTCTGATTTATTATTCTCTTCAAGTTTGGCTCTTTGAATTTTTTGAATGCATTTTACAATTAACTTACCAACTTCCATAAAGTCCTCTTGGAATTTTTGATTAACAGTGCATTGGTTTGGAGAAGATAAACTTTGTTTTAAATGAAATTTTCTGATCCATGAACTGGGTGGAACTCAGGGTAGTAACTTGTAGTGAAATGTACAGTAGGGTTTGTAATTAAGGATCTTCTTGCTTCATTCTGAAACTCAGAAAGTGGCGCTAATTCTCTTTTAAATATACCCATTTTAGACTGAAGAAGCATTTGGTTTCTAGCTTCTTTTTAAGTAAAATTTGTGTTTAACATACTCAAATTTTCTGTATGAAAAATTGATGTTATATGGTTTTATTTTCTACATTGTTTTTTTTGGATGATGAGACTTCACTTTTGCAATAAAATCAATTTAGTCATTTTTAAATGAATTTAAAATTTATTCTTCTGTCTTTAAGATTTTGATATGTTTTGAAGGGAATAACATTGGCTTAATCCCTTTCTTTCTTTCTCTCTCTCTTCCTTCCTTCCTTCCTTTCTTTCTTTCCTTCTTTCTTTCTCTCTCTCTTTCAGCTTTGAATGCATTTACTTTGAATTAATTGTCCTTTTTTTCAATCTTAGAGGTACTGCAATTACAAACAAGCATGTGTCGCCATGCCTTAGTGCTTCCGAAATTTGATTGTTTGTAATGTCTTAGCAAGGTTTCCATATTAAGAAAGTTGAAGTAATAGAACTTTTTGAAAAGAATTTTTCTAGTCTGATAAAACTTTGAGGGGAAATTGGTGTTATTTCTTATCTAAAAATTTAGTAGAATTTTTAAAGCAAGTCATATCTAGCAAATGTTTCTTTTAAAATTGGTAATTTTTTGTTTCTAGAATTTTCTGCTTAATATTTTTAGATGTTGCCTGAGTATAAGTAACTGAAAACACAATATGAAATTAGTAGATTTTCTAGTGTAGAGTTGTTTTATTGTTAGTTCAGTTCTTTAAAGAGAAAATCTTGACATCAAAGAGCATAGCTTATTTTTCATTTAAAATACACAACAAAACACCTTCTAGAATACTTTAAGTAGAGTTCAGAAAGTGTCTCTCTAGGTCTATAGATCTATCACACAGA